TAAGATGCTTAATCCCATCCTTGCCCAACTCCATTGGATTCCCATCACAGAGGATACAGTTCAAGATCCTGGTCCTCACTTTCAAAGCCCCCATGGTCTGGCTGCCCCCTACCTCTGCCACCTCCTAACCCCTACCATCCTCCCCGCTTCCTCCGCTCAGTGGGCTCCTTCCTGCTCCACGTCCCCCACCTAGCCCGCCCCACAATTGGCGGGCGAGCCTTCAGCCACTCTGACCCCACCCTCTGGAACTCGATCTCGCAGTCCCACCGCCTCGCCCCTTCCCTTGCCTCCTTCAAGACGCATCTCAGGACCCTCTTCTTCGACCACCCTCCTTCCCCCACTGCTCTCCACCCTCCCCGATCCCAACCTCCAGCTCGGGTCCGAAACACTGATTGTCCAGCGCTTTGGGACGTCCTCCCGATGTGATAAGGGCTATACAAATGTAATTTTGTTGTTGTAGTAGTAATCTGATTCCTGTGACAAATTCTTGGTTAGTACTGGACTATAAATAATAATAATCCTTGAATTTGATATAGCGACTTAGCACGTCTTCAAGATGTCTCAAAACGCTTCACAGAATATACTGTAAAGTGAATTGACTGTATATTTTGTGGGCGAACTATTCAGTACAGTACGATAGCGAAGTATTCAAATTAACATCCATAGTATTTTAAGCATAATTACATTTCCAGGAAATATATGGCTGTAGTTTTAATCTAGGCTGTTTAACAAAATGCGCCTCTCAAGAGCACTGATTTCTGCAATTTTCCGCGAAATTTATCATGTGGCCCACAATCTGGGGCAAATATTTCTGCAATTTTCTTTTGGCCCAGATCATGGGTAACTTTCTCCCTCCACTCCCAGATTTTCACAAACAAGTGACAATGATATGATTCACATAAGAAAATTATTACATTATTCATGTCATATCATGAAATGTCCAAAACAGCTCTAGTGATGCGAATGAAGGTCTAAGCAAATTAAAATCCAAGATAAAGCCATAATTAACAAGCAAATATCATTAGCAGCACTTAAACTAATTACACTTAAACCCTGGATAGCTGGGGGGGGGCGAGATTTGTCTGCCGAGCTGGAATTTCCAGTTAAGTGTAATTCCAATCAATGCCAATTTCAAAATCCCAGCATTGTAATTGTAATTGTTTGAATCCTCTCAAGTAGACAATAGCGGATAAACAATCTAAGTCATAGATAATATTCCTGGCCACTGTGAGGGCCAACAAGGACAGTGAGGCTGCAGGATTGGTGAGCACCAGGAGAGCTGGGAGTCGGGAGTCTATATTTTCCCAAAAATACACAGTAAATTCAGCTTATAGTGTACTCTGTGAAGCGCTTTGAGACATCTCAACAACATATTAAGGCGATATATCAAACACAAGAATTATTATTTTATTATTATATACATGTGTGTATATAAGATTTTTTTAAAAATGTTTTGGTTTTGGGCCTTTTCCAGGTAGATTTGAATTCCGCAAGACTGGGGTTTACTGTATTGTAACTTTCTCAAAGCATGCCCTGAAATGTATTCGAAAAGAACAGGATTTTAAACAAAATAAACATGAAAAGATTTAAAAAGTAGTCAATATACTGTATCCAAATATCATACAAAATCAATGGTATGTGTGTTAATAACTATCCTTGCATTTCAAATAAACCTTTATGTCGTCAAAATATTAAGAGCTTCTCAATGAATAGCTAATTGTAGCAACTGTGTATCAGTAGGCAAGATTATAGATATTCTACTTTTCTCTTCCGTGCTTCTATCCCTACAATGCACCTTATTTGAAGGTGTATTATGTATGCTTAGAATGTATATACATACATATACAGTATATATAATATATACACAGTCATATATATATATACTTAGAATATAAAACAAATACTGCCCTCTCCCCCTCTCTCCATCTTGTTTCCAGAGCCATTTAGAGATCAGCATCGGGTTTCCTTTTAGGCAATTATATAAATTATACAATAGCCAAAACATACAGAAAGTCTTTGAAAAATACTCCCATGTTGATTGAAGCAGTATTCTAGATAACATGTTTCTTATCCGATAAAGGTCTGACAAAATTAAAAACTGGGGGCATGGGATGAGAATTAAAATATCTGTTTCCCCCTTAAAAACTTCACTGTATTATTCAACTGTATGTAACATCAGCTTTGGCCCATGGCTGTCACTGATCTGAATCAATGAGACGTGTTTTGCTTTCTAGAATAAAATCACACAAACAAACAAAATAAATAACAATCCTTGCATTTGATACAGCACCTTATCACTCCATTGAGACATCTCAAAGCGCTTCACAGAATATACTGTAAAGTGGATTGACTGTGTATTTTAGACACCCTTATACATTGAGCACATTTCCTCACCCACTGACTTAGTTACACATAATTTATAGACACACATGGGCACATATATATATATACACACACACACACCCGCACAGTTTACACCCATGCGCATATATACACCCGC